CAAAAAGCTGCGAGACGTGATAGGCAGGTTCAGGGGTTTAGGCTGTAGAGCTTAGGGTTGCGGGTTCAGGGTTTAATTAGGGTGTAATTCAGGTTCAGGGTTGAGGGTTTGGAGACCTTTCACATTCTGGGGAGTTTGAGGGGCCGACACAAGCTGGGTCAACTTGGAATCCCTCTCCAGGTCGCCTCAATCACATGCTGCGGGTCCATCACTGCCCTCTCACGGCGGAATTGCCTGCGTGGGATCCACAGGAGGGTCCAGGGTTCAGGGTTTAGGGTTGGTAGCTGCAACTGTGGGGCCAATAAGTAGAGTCAGAGTTTCTAGAGGTACAGCCGATGATAACCTGATTCCCTAAACCATAAACCCTGAACTCTAATTTGCTTGGGGTGTTCATCTACCCATGAACATTTAAGTAGGACCCTAAGCAAAACACTAAACCCCTACAAGCCTGAAACCCTAAACCCCAAATCATGATCCTGAGCCGAGCTCGTGCGAAGCGCGAAACTCGAACCCAGCTGCTTCGGATGTCATAGGGTCACAGGGGGATTTGGAGGCTTTCGCCACCCTAAACCCTAAACCCTAAAACCCTAAAGGCGGTTCTAGAGCGTTTAGGGAGTAGGATTTGAAAAGGTGTCGGGTGTAGGAGGCCTTAAGCTTCCTAGATGTTTCTAGGGTGGTTGGGGGTTTGGGGGTTCAAGGGTTTAGATTGATCGGAGTTTAGGATTCAGGGTTTAGGGTTTGGAGTTTAGGGCTACTTAGGGGTTTAGGGTTTAGGGCTACTTGGTTTAGGGCTTAGGGTTTAGGGTTTTGGGTTTAGGGTTTAGGGCTATTTGGGGGGCTCTGCAGGAGCTTTGCAGGCGCAGTTTCCACGGGGATGTGGGCCTCCTCTGGACAGCCTCAAGCTGGACCGTCTCAGTCTCAGTGGCCATAAATGTCAAAGGGCCTCCGGAGATTTAGGCTCTGGGGGTTATAGGGTTTAGGGCTTAGGGCCCTGAACCCTGAACCCTAAATCCTAAACCCTGAACCCTAAGCCCTAAACCTGCTAGGGTCTCGGGCTTGGGTCTCGGGCTTGGGGGGGAAAGGGAGACTGGCGGGTGGGGTGGTTTAGGGTGGTTTAGGGTTTAGGGTTTCGGGTTTAGGGTTCAGGGTTTCGGGTTTAGGACGCAGTCCTCCCACTGTGTCTTGAATGTTATCCCGACGTACAAACTCGCGCTTTTAGCTGAGCTCAAAAACATTCGGCGGATGGGATTGAAGTCCAGCGCTTCGGGGGTGTAGGGTGTGGTGCTTGGAAAAACCCTAAACCCTAAACCCTAAACCCTAAACCCTAAACCCTAAACCCTAAACCCTAAACCTGAACCGTAATCCATTTTGAAACCCCGCGCTGATGATGCTGAAGCCTGACGGTCTTGAAAAGCCCCAAAAACCCTTTCGCGGTTCCCTAGCCCCAAATTCCCTACCTAAAACCCCCTAAACCCTAAACCCTAAACCCTAAACCCTAAACCCTAAACCCTAAACCCTAAACCCCAAACCACGCCAAAGCCAACATTCTGCGGGGCGGCCGGCCTGCCAAAAACTTCCCTGGCGGGAAACATGCAAGTCCTGAAAAAGCTTAGAGATTTGCGTGTGCCCAATGTGATCGGGTTGCCGGCTTGAGTGAAAACCCTAAACCCCAAAACCTAATGCAACCCGAACTGAACCCTCAAGAGCTTGAGGATCTGGACTTCTTAGCTCTTGACATGCGCCTTAAGGCTGTGAACCGTGGCTACTGCTGCGACTGGCTCCGACGTCAATCCCAACCTAGGGGGCGATACTGACTACCCAAACCATGTAAGCCCTCAAACTTTATACCGAAGCTCACTCCAACGAGTTTCCTCGCGCCTTCTCAAGCTGAGCCGAAATGCCACGGCCAAGGGTTTAGGGTTCAGGGCCTAGGGGGGTTTAGGGGCTTTGTGGTTGAGGGTTATAAGGTTTAAGGTTGCTACGCAACCCAAGTCAATGATGAGGAACATATGGAACATGATGGGGGCCATTAAATTCTCTCGAAGATCTTTATCTTGAAAGCGGCTTGGAACTCTAACACAAGCCCTGAGCCCGCATCCAGAAACCCCCAAACACCCTCAAACCTCCCAAAAATCTCCACCCCCTCAAAGCCCCAAAGCCCTGAACCCTAAACACCCTAAAAAGCACCAAAACCCTGATCCCTGAACTATGCAAACCTAAACCCTGAGCCCTAAACCCTAGACCCTAAACCCTAAACCCTAAACCCTAAACCCCAAACCCTAAACCCTAAAACCCTAAACCCGAGGGCGATTCTCAAAGCCTGCCAAAGGTGAGAGAACCCCAGACTCCCTTGAATCAGATCTGCAAATTGTGGTGTCTTGCTGGGTACCTTGGGGTTTAGGGTTTAGGGTTTGCGGTTTAGAGTTTAGGGCCCTACACCCCAAACCCCAAACCCTAGCCGAAGATTGGAAACCCAAAATCTTGCGAACCAGCCCGGTGAGGATCACAAGAACTGGGACATGTGGCACGGCTGCATCGTGAGCCCTTTCTCTTGGGCTTGCACGCAAGCTGCGGACGCATATCAGTGCAAAGGTCATGGAGGGATTTCCGACTTAACTGCGCAACCGCGTGCTTATTCTAGATTGCGCAAAGTATGCAGGAAGCAGCAAAAGCTCAAGACAGAGATAAGACGCAACGGCAAAGCATGCTGTCGCCACTTTATGAGCAACTGAGCATCATACCGCCTGTTTGGTTCTAAAAGCTTTTCTTATGCTTGCATCGCTTTTGCATGAATCACAGAGGTCTCCGAACCTCCCCACAAAAAGGGCGATTAGATTTTTTGCAGGTGCCCGGTTTTTTGGGAAGGCTTAGCAGGCCCTATGAAGCGCGTCAATGTCAAGCAACACAGCGCTTGGGGTAATTACGTGACATATTTGCGTTTAGTTCCAGGAACTTATGTTGTTTTCCAAACTGGCACATTGTACCCTGAGACCGTAAACCCTTTAAACCCCATGCTACACCAAATCCTATGTTGCACCCGGGCTAGGTCGGCTGCCCCCTAGAATTTCAAGTCCGGCCATACCCCTCCATGACCTCTTGTGAGGGCAAAGGTGCTTCCTCCAGCTCAACCAAGCTGTGAAAATGGAAAGCCCCACCGGTCCGCGAGTACTTCTCTCTCCAGGCCCTGGTGCCTGGTTTAGTGCTGGACCAGCGCCAAGACACTAGGGATGGCGAGGTTGTCATTTCGGCGATTTTGGGGATAAACATCCCGGGCGCACGCAGCAGAATGCGTGTGCGCGTCTCTACGGTCGCCAATTCCGGCTGGCTGCACGGGCAAAGGAGAACCTTGGGATGAAAAGTGCAGTACCAGGTTGCCCCCACGGCCGCCAGCCGCCTACCGGCGAATGTCAGGTTGGCAGGGCCTCCTCTCGGGTCACCTTCGCCAGGAATAGTACCCAAAACGGGTCCATAAACCCTACATAAACGTACTCAAAGAAAAGCCTGAAGACTGCACAAAACAGGAGTGAGAAACGTACTAGTTCTTAACAGAGAAACAGGGAATCAGATTGCTTGTATCCCCCTATCCCTACAACCTTCATCAGCATTGGATGGTCAACTAGTTCCCCTACTCCCAGAAACCCTATAAATCCTGCAAACCCTAGCACTCAACCCAAGTCGGCGGAAATGTTTCATAAGCTTCGGCTTGGAGCGCGCCCTGTACGTAGAAGACTCTAGGGTTTAGTGCATACAGGGTTGTTGAGGTTTGCGGAGTCTGCAGGGTTTGTAGGGCTTATGGGGCTCGCAGGGCTTATCGAGCTTCTGGAGATTAGAGCGTTGAGCTTCTGGAGTTGGGGTTTTGGGTTCAGGCTTGAACGCTCTAACGAATACTGCCTTGTATGCTTTAGTGTCTACAGTTGGCGCGGTGTCATCCAACTTGAATCTCGTGTCTGAGTTTCTTGACTTAAGCTGGATGCTACCAGCCCGCGCAGAGAGATCGAGCACCCAAGGCAGCACCCGTGTCAGGGGAGGCTTCTCCGTTGCGAGCCGGAATCTGACTCCGGCCATCCACTTCTCCCCCTTTCCGCCTCGGAGATCCCTAAGTCAACAGGCCATGTGGGCGGTCGACGATCCCACCCACGCCGCCTACAACCCGGCGAGGATCCACCCGGTGGCGGCCGGCGTTGCGGCACTGGACCCGGCGAATTACGCCGACAGAATCGCCGGGGAGATGTCGGCGATGTTCCAGGCGGCCTCCAAGCCCAAGGCCCAGGAAGCCAGACCGAGTTGCGCGCAACTCTGCCAGAAATGTTTTGGGACAATTGAAGCGGCGTCCTGTGCTAGATCGCCATTGTATGTTTAAACCCTGTATAACCCCCTAAGCCCATTGAACCCTAAGTCCCAAAACACCTAATCCCCGAAAAACCCTAACCTCTAAACCCTTTTAAACCCTAAAACCCTTTGAACCCTAAACCCCGTGAACCCTAAACCCTTTGAACCCTGCTTTGAACCCCAGAGCCTAAAACCCTAAAACCCTACAACTCAATAAACCCTAAAACCCTTAAAACCCTACGAGTAGAGCCCTGCAACTCTTTAAACCCTTTGGATTGGGGGTTCGGAATATGGAGTTTGGGGTTTGGGGTACGATAACTTAGCGCGCGGCCTTAAACACCAAACGGTCAGGGCAACGCAGGGTTCAGAGTTCGGAAGATTCACTGTAGGCGAACTAAACAGGCATGATGCTCGTTGAAGCTTTGGGGTGGCGAGGGCTCTGTGACAGCTTTCTTCCTGTGCCGCTGCATCCGACACGTGCCTCAACAATCCCTTCAGTTGACATAATATACTTGTTTGGCAAGCAGCTGCCTCCTCAAAACCACCCCCCACATCCCGCCCCAAATCTGCACATCCCAAACGTCCGCAAGCCCACCCTCCAAACCCTGCAAAGCCAGGCCCAAAAACTGTCTCCCAGCCCCCCCCCGCCCCCCAAACCCCCAGGCCTCGGCTCAGACTTTGATCGTCTTCTCGGCCACTGGCAGCGCCTCCAGGGCTGCGCGGAGCTCCGCTTTCTCCTCCACGCCTCGGTGGGGGGGGAGCGCTTGGGGGGGTTGAAGGGAGCTCTGGGCTTTGGAAGATGAGGTCTGAGGCAAGGCTGCATAGGTCCAGGATTTATTTTGCAAGGAAAACGTCTAGGGTTTGGGAGTACTCGGCTTGCTAGGGTTGTGGCTTGAGGCTTGGGATTTCGACGGCTTCAGATTTTGAAGAGGGCGCTCCGGAGTTATTGGGGGACGAAGCAAGGGGGAAGTGCCGGCTTTGGAGCTCGGCAAGCATAGTTCCATCCCTCCGGGTGTCCCGGCCCTCGCAGGGGTACAGCGTTCTGAAGTCAGCGTCCAGTTTGGCCAGCGCCGGGAGCCGCCGGAGAGCCCCCGCGAGCGCGAGGCCGCCTTGCAGGCCTCGGGCACGAAGCGCAAGCGACGCGTGGGTCCTCGACCGAGCCTTCACTGCAAGCCTCCAGGAGCTCCTGTCTTTCTCTCTCTTTCTCTTTCTCTTTCTCTTTCTCTTTCTCTTTCTCTCCCTCTCCCTCTCCCTCTCCCTCTCCCTCGCCCTCGCCCTCGCCCTCGCCCTCGCCCTCGCCCTCGCCCTCGCCCTCGCCCTCGCCCTCGCCCTCGCCCTCGCCCTCGCCCTCGCCCTCTCCCTCTCCCTCTCCCTCTCCCTCTCCCTCTCCCTCTCCCTCTCCCTCTCCCTCTCCCTCTCCCTCTCCCTCTCCCTCTCCCTCTCTCCCTCTCCCTCTCCCTCTCCCTCTCCCTCTCCCTCTCCCTCTCCCTCTCCCTCTCCTCTCTCTCCTCTCCCCTCTCCCTCTCCCCTCTCCCTCTCCCTCTCCTCCCTCGCCCTCTCCCCTCTCCCTCTCCTCCCTCTCCCTCTCTCCTCCCTCTCCCTCTCCCTCTCCCTCCCTCTCCCCTCTCCTCCCTCTCCCTCTCTCCTCTCTCCCTCTCTCTCCCTCCTCTCTCTCTCTCTCTCTCTCTCTCTCTCTCTCTCTCTCTCTCTCTCTCACTTCAGTCTGTTTGGAGTTGAAGAAGACCATGGAATGTGTTTGAAGTTGAAGCAGGGCTTCACAGGTGAAGGTTTGACAGGGATTGCAGGGCTTCTGCCAGCGAGCAGCCCTCTGCGCCTCGGCATCAAGTCTTCAGCAGTTCCGAGATTCTCATGCTCACAAGAATGCATTGCCGAATGATGCCCTCTGGCCTCAAAACGCCCCTGCAGCTTTTCAAGACCATGCCCCTTTGCTCTGGGGCCCCCTGCCGAGCTCATCGTTGCCACCTAAGTCGAGCTTCAGCTGAGTCAGCTCCTGCAGGCGGGCGAGCGCGCCGGCCAGAGCTGCTGCCTGAGCGGCTGCATCCTCCGCGCCTCGGCAGCAAGTGCAGCTCTCCAAACATCCGCGCATCCCCGGCATCCGCAATGCTCATGCTGCATGATGGCAGATTCATGGCAGATGCCCATACTGCACTGGGCGTGGACCGGCAGTCCACGAGTGTTGGAAGAGTCGGCTAGACTGCTGACTTGGAGGCAGCAAAGCCCCTATGGCACGCTGCCCATTCGTGATCTTGTTGTTTCTCCGAGAGTCACATGAGTCATTCTGCCTTGGATGCTACGTTGCAGCCCCGTGGCGCCGCTGCTCTCCACCCACCCCCTCTTGGCACCCGTTTCTGACCAAATCGGAGCTGTTGATTCCTACGGTGCTGCAGATGATCTCCACACTATGCCCAGATCAAAAAGACCGGGCGTTTTGGTCGCTTGTTTTGATCGGCTGCTTATACAACGTTGCCTGATTGCAGTTTGCAGCATCACTAGCATCGCCTGGCAATAAAAGCCTAATGATCTCTGATAGCTTCGATTTGCTTCGCCTTCTAATCGGCCATTCTGGTTCAACGCTCAGGAAACTCCCAATCTCTTCCCCGACTTCCCCCGCGCCTCGTCACACTCGGGAATCCCCTGCATTCCCTGCCACCCCCCATGTCTCAAACTGTTCGGGGCAGATGGAAAAAGCGCTGGAGCGATGAAGGGTGCAGAGAGTTTGGCACAATGATCTTCTAGGATCATACCACCCCGTCTCGCATAGCTCTCCAGGTCCCCCGGCCGAGCTTGCAGCGGCCGAGACCAAGCTCCAGCGCCGCCAGCTTCGGGAGGCCGCCGAGGGCTTCTGCCAGCGAGCGACCGAGGCCTGAGCGTCAGGTCTTCAGCAGTTCCGAGATTCTCATTACTCACCAACTGCATCTCTGCCAAATGATGCCCTCTGCTTGCCCCAACTTCAGCCTCAAAACGCCCCTGCAGCTTTCAAGCCCATGCCCCTCTGGGGCCCCCTGCCGAGCTCCTCGTTGCCACCTAAGTCGAGCTTCAGCTGAGTCAGCTCCTGCAGGCGGGCGAGCCCGCTGGCCAGAGCGGCTGCCTCCTCGGCGCCTCGGCACGCATCCCTGGCATCCGCAAGGACTCTTGCTGCATTGACTGGCGGATGATGGCGGATGCCCATACTGCATCGCGGGGAGTCCGCGACTCTTCCAAAGAGTCGGCTGTGCGGATCCACGGCGCGACGGTTTCAGACAATAGAAGAAGTGCTGAAGCGCCGCTACTACTCACAAAGCATCACAAAGTTGCAGAACTTCCAAGGCACTTTCGGCACACCCATGACGACATCATGCCACCGCCCCTTCAGACCCCCCCGTCCCTTGAGCACCTGATATATTAATCATGGCACGATATTTCTCAGCGTCACCGGCATGCTGGGCAGTGTGGGCTGCTGACTTGGCACGCTGCCATTCGTGATCTTCTTGAATTTCCTACTCCTGCCGCCAGCCTCTGGGTTCTGATTGACTGTCCCCCCTCCTGAGGCGTCCTGATGCTGGGCCCACAGGTGCTCAAGGTTATCATTTTGCCACTCAGCCAGGGCATGTCCATACACCCCATCGAGGTGCACGTTGTCAGAATGGTGACTGAGGGTCAACTACACTGCCTTCGTGTGCTCGGGGTTCTCTCCAAAATGCCTGATTGGCATAGTTCTGCCACACCGGTTCCTGTCCAAGTGCTTCTCGTCTACGACGCAAACACGTCCTGGTGCAAGGACCATGGTCTGTTGTGTCTCCTGATTGTTTGAGTTAAGGCATGACTTTGACATGAGCGGTCGCTTGTCCTGCTCGGCTGCTCAGAGTTCAGCATTGCTTGATTGCAGTTTGCAGCATCATGAGCATCGCCTGGACGGCCCGGTGATCTCTGATTGCCTTTTGTGCACGTCGAACCACTTCGCCAAACTTCTCATCCGCCATTCTGGTTCAACGCTCAGGAAACTCCCAATCTCTTCCCCGACTTCCCCCGCGCCTCGTCACACTCGGGAATCCCCTGCATTCCCTGCCACCCCCCATGTCTCAAACTGTTCGGGGCAGATGGAAAAAGCGCTGGAGCGATGAAGGGTGCCGAGGGTTTGGCGCCATGATCTTCTAGGATCATACCGTTTGGCGCCATGATCTTCTAGGATCATACCACCCCGTCTCGCATAGCTCTCCAGGTCCCCCGGCCGAGCTTGCAGTGGCCGAGACCAAGCTCCAGCGCCGCCAGCTTCGGGAGGCCGCCGAGGGCTTCTGCCAGCGAGCGCCAGCCCTCGGCGCCTCGGCGTCAGGTCTTCAGCAGTTCCGAGATTCTCGGTACTCACAAACTGCATCTCTGCAAAATGACGCCCTCTGCTTGCCTAAACTTCAGCCTCAAAACGCCCTGCAGCATTTCAAGACCATGCTGGGACCATGCCCCTCTGCTCTGGGGCCCCGGCCGAGCTGATCGTTTCGGTATAAGCCGAGCTTCAGCTGGGTCAGCTCCTGGAGGCGGGCGAGCCCGCCGGCCAGAGCGGATGCCTCCTCCGCGCCTCGGCACCAAGTCCAGCTCCCCCAACATCCGCGCATCCCTGGCATCCGCAAGGACTCTTGCTACATTGACTGGCAGATGATGGCGGATGCCCATACTGCATCGCGGGGAGTCCGCGACTCTTCCAAAGAGTCGGCTGTGCGGATCCACGGCGCGACGGTTTCAGACAATAGAAGAAGTGCTGAAGCGCCGCTACTACTCACAAAGCATCACAAAGTTGCAGAACTTCCAAGGCACTTTCGGCACACCCATGACGACATCATGCCACCGCCCCTTCAGACCCCCCCGTCCCTTGAGCACCTGATATATTAATCATGGCACGATATTTCTCAGCGTCACCGGCATGCTGGGCAGTGTGGGCTGCTGACTTGGCACGCTGCCATTCGTGATCTTCTTGAATTTCCTACTCCTGCCGCCAGCCTCTGGGTTCTGATTGACTGTCCCCCTCCTGAGGCGTCCTGATGCTGGGCCCACAGGTGCTCAAGGTTATCATTTTGCCACTCAGCCAGGGCATGTCCATACACCCCATCGAGGTGCACGTTGTCAGAATGGTGACTGAGGGTCAACTACACTGCCTTCGTGTGCTCGGGGTTCTCTCCAAAATGCCTGATTGGCATAGTTCTGCCACACCGGTTCCTGTCCAAGTGCTTCTCGTCTACGACGCAAACACGTCCTGGTGCAAGGACCATGGTCTGTTGTGTCTCCTGATTGTTTGAGTTAAGGCATGGCATGACTTTGACATGAGCGGTCGCTTGTCTTGCTCGGCTGCTCAGAGTTCAGCATTGCTTGATTGCAGTTTGCAGCATCATGAGCATCGCCTGGACGGCCCGGTGATCTCTGATTGCCTTTTGTGCACGTCGAACCACTTCGCCAAACTTCTCATCCGCCATTCTGGTTCAACGCTCAGGAAACTCCCAATCTCTTCCCCGACTTCCCCCGCGCCTCGTCACACTCGGGAATCCCCTGCATTCCCTGCCACCCCCCATGTCTCAAACTGTTCGGGGCAGATGGAAAAAGCGCTGGAGCGATGAAGGGTGCCGAGGGTTTGGCGCCATGATCTTCTAGGATCATACCGTTTGGCGCCATGATCTTCTAGGATCATACCACCCCGTCTCGCATAGCTCTCCAGGTCCCCCGGCCGAGCTTGCAGTGGCCGAGACCAAGCTCCAGCGCCGCCAGCTTCGGGAGGCCGCCGAGGGCTTCTGCCAGCGAGCGCCAGCCCTCGGCGCCTCGGCGTCAGGTCTTCAGCAGTTCCGAGATTCTCGGTACTCACAAACTGCATCTCTGCAAAATGACGCCCTCTGCTTGCCTAAACTTCAGCCTCAAAACGCCCTGCAGCATTTCAAGACCATGCGGGACCATGCCCCTCTGCTCTGGGGCCCCCGGCCGAGCTGATCGTTTCGGTATAAGCCGAGCTTCAGCTGGGTCAGCTCCTGGAGGCGGGCGAGCCCGCCGGCCAGAGCGGCTGCCTCCTCCGCGCCTCGGCACCAAGTCCAGCTCCCCCAACATCCGCGCATCCCTGGCATCCGCAAGGACTCTTGCTACATTGACTGGCAGATGATGGCGGATGCCCATACTGCATCGGGGGGAGTCCGCGACTCATCCAAAGAGTCGGCTGTGCGGATCCACGGCGCGACGGTTTCAGACAATAGAAGAAGTGCTGAAGCGCCGCTACTACTCACAAAACATGTTGATTCCTGTGCTGCCGATGCCCAAATCACGCAAACCTCACCGCCAAAAAAAAAACAGAGCGGGTGTTTTGAACCCGTGACCCCTGCGCCCCAAATCTAAAGCTGCCGCCTTTGGCGTCCCTCAGCTGCTCAACGTTCAACATTGCTTGAGTGCAGATTGCAGCATCGTTGGAATCGGCTGGCAAAGATACAGTCCGGTGATCTCCGATTGCCTCTTGTGCACATCGAAGCAACACGGGACCTCTTCAACACTCCTTGCCCTTGGCCACAGAGTGTTGTTGCGAGAGTATCGTGGTGCGCTTCTTCTGCTTTCCGGAATCTTCTGTTTGCGTCTGACTGGTCCACCACCTTCTCCTCCATCTCGGCTTTGCGGGTGCTCTCTGGCTCTGGATCATGCCCGGGGTGCTCCCAGCCGCTGGACGCATGATGCATTACCTTCAATGCTTGCTGGGCTCCCGGGCCGAGGCCGGCCTCCGCCTCCCTCAACCCCAGGTCCAGCTCCCGGAGCTGGCCGAAGCGCCGCAGCGCCGCGCCCAGGCCCCGGGCTCCCTCCAGGCCTCAGCCGCTGGCAGACGACAGCAAGAGTCGGAAAGGCACCCTGCTGCTGCTCTCCAAGCTCTCCTCTATGCGCACCCTCGTGCTTCAGAACTCTGCTCTCAGGCCGCTGCCGATGCTGGAACCTTCCAGGAGGTGCAGCAGGAGCTTTTCGGACCGGGGCTGGAGGCACGTCTGAAGTCCTGAGCGAAGGCAGGAGCTGAGACCGTGCCCGGGCCTCTTCCGAGGGAGCCACGGGCTCAGGAAGCAGCAAGAAGACCCGACATCTACCCCGACAAAAAGTTGGGCCGTCCTCTGCAAAGGATCTCCAGTTCTGCAGCTGCCAGCGGATGCTGGAGCTCGCTGAGATCAATTTGGAGCTCCGGCATCTGGGCCATCTCCGGCATCGCCATCATGAGGACGTAGCACAGGGCTCCTTCAGAAGTCGCCAGAAATATTTTTTGTAGTCAGAGGTGTCATTAAAGGTCGTTATTTCCAGTTGTGCCCAAAAGATGGGCCTGGTTTTGCCTCAAGCCGGGCGGCCTCGCAGCATGGGCTGCGCCTGCACCTCGCCGAAGGCATTCTTCCAGCCCTGCCGGTCCTGGGCCTCGGAAAGGCATAGGACTGCGGCACGTGTCTGCACACGTCTATGCAACGAATATGGTCTGGACACTGCGCATGCAGTATCAAGGCTGCAGAATGAAGTGCGTATGCTCTCGCAGATCCTGTCACAGCATGCGCGTGGCACATAGACGTCCACGGAGAGAGAGAGAGAGAGAGAGAGAGAGAGAGAGAGAGAGAGAGAGAGAGAGCTGCTATGAGCTGCACTTCTTGGCCCCAGGCAGGGGGCTGCGAGTCCCTCCAGGCCTGTCAAGAAGCCCAAACCCACCGAAATTCCGGGGAGCGGGCACTCGCAGAGACTTTCAGCATGTCCTGCTCTCTGATCTCAGCACCCCTTGTGTCTAACCGGGCCTCCGCTGCCAGGAGCTCGTGCATGCGGAGATGGTAGATCTGTACCTATAAGGGAGCGCAATCCACCCGAAACGGATTCGCAGACTTTTCACAATGCTTCGCAGCAAGTCTCGAGGGCGGCGCAGCGTCATGGCCGGCGGCCGGCTCGAAGAAGCTCAGGTGCCCTCTCAGGGCTTCCTGGAACAGCACCTGGGCGAAAGGAATGACCGGCGCCGGGCCCGCCGGGCAGTCGAGAAAAGACATGGCACTCACTGCTCCCACGTCGGAAAGAGCAGCGCCTCCTTGCCCGCGAAGTCCGCCTCTCGTAGAAGCCGCTGTCCTGCCTGCGGCAGGACTCGCCACAAAGAAATTTGTAGGGAGCGGCCGCAAGCCAAAGAAAAAACACGAACGGCGCGATGGGCGCCCCGGACTCACTCTCCCGCCGCCTTGAGCACTCGCAGGCAGACGGGGCGCAGCATTTCACGCAGCCCCGAGCTGCCGGTGCGCTGCGCTGCCTCTGGAAAGGAACTATAGGGGCAAATGCAGCCATGCGAACTACCCACTGCCCACCCTACTTGCAGGATCTGAAAGCTGCTGCGGGAAGCTCTCAGGCTTCGGATGCTTTTGAAGCGCCTGCGCCAGAAGAGCCTCGACAGCAAACCGCATGAGCTCGAGCTCGGCCACAGCGCCAGCGGCCGGGAGCTCCTCTAGAAACTTCCGCGCACGCGCGCGAACGAAAATCCATCAGCTGATCCTGGTGATTGGGTCGAACCATGCTGTCCTCGTGCTCTTCGCGGTACTTGCCTCAGGAGACTGTCTGAATGCAAGGGCCTTCATGGAAGCTGGCCTCCAGCTGCAAGCACGTGCGCAAAGCTAAGGATGCGACACAGCAGGCTTGCCATCAGCGGGGTCTGCCAGACCTTCATGCGTTACAGGTCTCACACAAACATACCCACAACAAAAACGGCAGGCTTTAACTTCTCAAATCAGCATGAGATGGGCAAATTAATCAGTCTGTCGTTCGGCCATGGATTCTGGACTTATGGCATCTCAAGCCATCGTCTTCTGCTACAGTACTGCTGCCTCAGCCTGCCCACCTCGCCAGGCAGAGTTCGCAGCTCGTCCTCCCGACACTTTGCGATCCTCGAAGCAAGAGCAAATAAGCTCCGAGCAAGCAGACGCCTGCTCACTAGACTCACTAGACAGCAGCTTAGCTCTCAGCCAAGCAGACGCCTGCATGCCTTTAAGCCCGGCCTCGTTGCCGCAAGCTCCGTGAGCGGCAGCAGCTCCAGAGGCTGGAAGCCGAGCCTCCGACGCATGCGCTGCTGGAGGAAAGAGACCAGGGGCGGGGGGGAGTGGGGGCAGCAACGGTCGAGGCCAGGGCCCGGTGGAGAGCTCTGTCTGCGCCGTGATCTGAGTCAACTCTGTAGGGCACTCCGTGACTGCTGTGTCCATGGTGAGGATGAAGCAGCCTAATTGTGAGGCAGACAAACTGGTTGGAAGCAACCACCTGATCCGGGCTCTGCGTGGCCAGCCTCACCAGTTGTTTAAAACATGTCGAACTGCTGCACAAAGGCGGCCAGGAGGCTGCGAGGCGGCCACAGCATATAGCTCCTCTCTTTATTTTCACCATTCAACACCAGGACGTCGCCTCGGCTGAGGGCAGGCTGCGACGCTCTGCGCCCCGTGCCCCTTGAATCCATCAGACTGCGGGCAAGGCGCCAACTTTCAGGCTGCCTGTGAGGATCACATGGCTATCCCCAATGGCTTGCACGGTCCTGGGGAAGCTCCGAAAGCGCGGCTCCGCAACTCCCAGTGCGCCAGGCCCAGGACTCCGGAGGCACCGTAATTCGCGAACCGAGGCCCGTGCACGTCGACGTCTTCCGATTTCTCCTCGATGTCTCTGGGCTCCGAGTCCGACGTCTGGCACAAGTAGACGTCGCACGGGAAACATTGGCGCAAACCATCGAGAGCACTGAGGTCCTACGTGGCTGTGGATGCTGCAGCTTTAATAGGCTCACAGTCAGATCATGGAGCACATCGACACACCACCCTGCACGACCAAACAGTGAAAGATGACGGGAAGTGGAGCAGGGCAGCCAGCATGCTACAAGCCGTTGTACCAAGGTTATTGAAGCGTGGCCCCATGCGGAAGAATGACACGCCAGTATAATATCAGTATAATATCATGACGCAAGCACAATATGCACAATGAGGAGCGCTTGGAAGCACCACGCACGGCACAACATTTGTGAATTAAACAATCAAGGTCGTCTGAGGGATGCTTGACTTCGGTGAAGCCTCGTTTTGATGCGGATCAAAAAGAACGGAGGTGAACGTCTTTTCTCCCCTCCCAAACTTTCTTCCAAACCAGGCAATCTATGTTGCGGATTGCATCCTTGTTCACGAATGGTGGCCTCGGTCGGGCGCTTTCCCTTCCCATAAGTACTGGCAGGATCGAGGTCACAACACCTACAGACCTACCGACATACATGGAACGCGACGCCCAGCGTCCAACGATGCTCGGGATCACACGTTTAAGGCTTGCTGCCCCGTGGACGCCACAGCTAAGTCAAGCTTAGCAGGGAGATGTCAAAGGTGTTTCTCAAGGCACGAGTTGGCCTTAATCACTTTTCATTTTTATTCAGCGCGCCCCGCACTGCAATTGCCTCCCAAACCCTTAGCCCCGGCTCCTAATGTGATCGTCATTGGGGGGGGGTCGGAAGTCTGGGAAGCGTGAACTAACGGCCCCCGGGTCCTCGTTGAGGATTCTAAGCCGCTCGCCACACACGACCCCCACCTTGTAGGAGCGCGAGGGCTCGCCGCCGGCGTCCCGAAGCGCCTGCTCCAGGAGCCCGCCCCGAACTCGGGCGGCGTCCGCTGGCCCCTGCAGCGTCACCGCTGCAGAGAAGATCTGGCGGGGATCCTGCAACTGACCAGTTCTTCTATCCAACAATGCGCCACAACCCTCTTTGCTGCACGCTGCGTGCAAGATGCTGCATGACCCCCCCCCTTCCCTGTGTTGGTCCTTCCGCCGGACTTTCACTCGGTGCGTTCCTGGCTGAAGGTCAACCTCTGGCAAATTGTCGACCTCGCTGCGCTTGAAGACGAAGCGGTGGAGGAGGAAGCCCTGTGGCCAAGCCCGTCACAGTCCTAACCACTAACCTGGCGACCTGGTACAAAACCCCCGGTGCGGTGCAACTGCGCCTGTGCAACTGAGGCCATCAGTCTCGTGGTCAGGCCAACAGAGCTGCCTCGCAGCTCGACGCGGCTCCTTTCGGGCAGCTGGTCCTGCCCCGCTGTCACTGCCGTCTGCGTCTGGAGCAGCTTGCGCTCCAGTCAGCCATGTGACGGCACACACCCTCATGACTTCGTTCCCCAACTCACCCTCCCAGCCCTGCGGGGCTCCCGAGTGACAAAGCAGGTCGCGGACAGCTGGGCAAAGACCGGGATGGGCACCGCATCGCGGACGACCCCGTCGGCCTCCAGGACCCTCGGCTGCCACGAGGCTTTGCTATGGCTTTGCTGAGGCGACCGTGCTTGAAACCGAAAGCCACGGTAAACATCTCTGGGTTGCGAAGCGCCGCAAGGCTTGTACTCCCGAGGCTGCGAACATCAAAGCGCAAACGCACACACAATCATGCAAATACACGTCGCGTCACTGAGAGGCCCACTGGTCGGTGCCTGACGGACGGCTGGTCATGATGAGGCCGACATAGCGGCAGCTGTGGGCCCTGCAGATGAAACGGAACCGGAACTCCAATCTTCAGTGCTGGAAGGGCTGATCAACTTGCTTTCTGCGGCGGTGGTCGATTCAGATGGTATCAAATGGAATGGTGAAGAGGTTCGGGGTCCCAGCCCGTATCCCCCACAACGGCCCTGCGTTCTTGCCGATCCAAAGGTCCCCTACGTGCTCCCCTGATACTCCGCTTTGGTGATCCGTAACTTTATGGCCGTGAGACCTTTTGGCCTTACTGCGCTAATTGGTATTACTCATGCTGAAGCACCGCCTATATCGGAGCCGATCACGGCGATCGCGGCGGGGTCCCCTTGTCCCGTTGCCGAGGCGCTCCAGCCAGCCCTGCAGCCAGTCGACGATCCGCCGGCGCGCTGCACCGGCCTCATCGAAGCCGTCGAGCACCAGGAGGAGCTTCCGGTCACCTGGCTGGGGAAGTGCGAAGCATGCAGGAGGCGGAGGCCGGCGGGAAGAGCAACAGTGCCGTCGGGGCACCTCGAAAGAGCTCCCGGCTCTCCGCACCGAAGGCGCGCTCAGCCCAGCGCCGGAGCCTCGGCACCAACAATGCGGAACGATGCAACAAGATGTACAGAAGACTGGCGAGGAAGCAACTTTCTGTGCTGATGCAGCTGAGCTGCGGGTCTCCGGTAAGGTCCTGCCGCCGCAATCCGGCTCGGGCTTCGCTGTACACGTTCAACCCCTGGTCTTCGAATTGCCGTATTTCAACAGTACGATGATATCCAGCAGTGAGCAGTGAGAAACCGGCAACCGCCGCCCTCCCTCGCAGCCTGCCAACCACCCGGACCCACTCACTGTGTTCGTCGTCCAATCACATTCCAATCACGTTAGATTAGTGCATTCGTGTCAAGGTAGCGTTCTTTTCTGACAAGGGCTTCACCATGTACTTCTGGGTCCTCTAACATCACCGTTTGACCGTCTAGTTGTTTCTTGTCTGAACGGCCGGGCCGGTCCGCAACTTCCGGTCGCCCGATGCTTCCAACAGGGCACTGGCTACACACCTACACACGACGGCCCTGCGCACGGATCCTCAAAAAATGGTCCGCGGCAGCGCTTTGGCACTCAGCCCCCTCCCCCCCTCGTAGCGTCAGGCATGCCTTTCTTGGTGCTGTGCTGGTGCTAGGGCTCCCCATCCTTCCTCGCGGCTGCGCCTCGCGATGTCTGATCTCTACTTGTCCTGCTGTCCTGCCCTCCCCGTCCTTCGTGTGCAAGGCAAGCTCGGCGAGGGGGACACGCACAGGTATGATGCCAGCGTCCCGTCCTGAGTGTCGCAGCAGAAGGCTGATGTGATTGTAGCCGACAAAAGGGCAGAGCTGAGGCCAGGGCTTGCCCAGTCCACCTCAGGATCCGACACACGGGTGTACAGCGCTTGCCGCTTCCGTTGGCAACAGCATGTCTTCTCTTCGCGACGAGGCGCGACTCTCCTCACCACTTCCCTCGCAAAGACCGTCTTCCCCGAGCCTGGGCCGATTGCCAGGTACATGATTTAATGTACATTGTAAAGCACACAGACACACACACACACACACACCAAAAAAAACATGAAGAGCAAAAATGTTTTAAAGAAATGTAAACATAAGAATAATAAGAAGAAGAAGCAGAAGAATAACAAGAATAATGACCAGAAGAAGAAGAAGAACACAGAATGTACAATATCTCACATAGAAAGCAACACCCCAACTTGTTCACAATGCACCGGGGAGCCGCCCGGCCCGATAAGAAGGATCCTCGGCAGTCCACCCTGGCAGGTCTTGTTCGGACATTTGCCCGGTTGCACCCGGCATTGCTTTGTGACTTGATGCGCCTCGATGCAGGCCTGGATGAGGGCGTTGGATGTCTTCACCTGTGAGAGGAGAGGGGCACGGGAACCCATCGTGTCAACATCTAAAAAGAACACTCCTCGACTCGGGGGGCGCCTCCCCGGTCGACAGATCCTTCAGCTCGATCTCTTCCGGCTCGACCTGCTTACCTGGATCAAGGGCCCGACGGCTCTGAATGCTGTGCGCGCACGGCCTCTTTATTGCAAGGTCTGTCAACGTCTTCCAGCAAGCTCAAGATGCCATCCGAACGCTCCACACTCACAACGTTCTGCGCCTGTGAACGCGTTCCGAGTGATGGAGAGGCACCCGGAAAAGGTCACGAGGTCCATGACCTGCTATTTCGATATGTAGTCAACACGGACTACCCCCAAGACCGAGGTTTGGACACCCCATGAGATTCCTCAACCCTCAAACTCTATCTGATCCTTCCAGAGCCTACATGTCGGCTGATTTTATGAAACATCCCAACGAAAAACAACAACGGCGCTGGAAGGGTGATTTTTTTAAAGCTTAGCGGTTCCCGTAGCTCCCTTGAATGCTATTAAGTTCGGGTTCATGGGGGTTCTTTCTGAAACTATCTCCCGCTTTCAATTGAGCGTCTTTGTGGATCATGAGCCGCCAGGACCCAGAACAGGTCAGGGCCTCCTTTTAAGGGGGCTTGAACTCTTTTGATGTCAAAGGTCTGGCAAAAACTGTGTTTTACCTGATCCATCCTTCCAGAACTTGCATTTCTGTAGGGCCCCGAAGGCTTCTAGACTAGGGTGTGCGTCTGTGCATGATGAAGACCCTACAAGAAGCTCAGGTATTGGGAATTCCCCCCGCCCCTTCTTCCCACGCCTGGAGCTGGACCTTTCCTGCCACTGCCGTGGCCCCGCCGGGGTGGTCGGAGATGGCAGCTTCGATGTTGAGCTTGTCCTGGGTGGCTTCGCGGGCGCTTTCAGGGCGCTTTCAGGGGGCGTTTTGGGGGGCTTTTGGGTTTTTGGAGGGTTGTCAATGGGCGCTCGAAAAGTTTCAGGTTGGAGCCCCCCAAACAGCTTCAGAGATGCAACGATCCGACGTTGGGGGGGGGGGGTCACTTTGGGTAAGCATGATGAGGCCTCAACCTACCAACCCCTACAAACCCTGTAAATACACAAGGGGAGCAGCTCCTGCACACTCCGCGCACCCCCCGTTCCCGAATGCAGGCGAAGGCTCTTGGGGCTCCGAACTTCCGACCTCCTGGAGGTTCAGGTTCCTGAGCCTCTCAATGATTTCGTTCATGAGCTCTGACTCGCTGGTGCGGCAGATCTGGCCCTCGCAGGAGAACCTTCAGCTGCGCAAGCGCACAGCACACGACTTTGCGACCGCAGTGACTGCAGCAGTCGGTGTACATTGCGGCGGCCTTCGCAATAGTCTCCCTTTTGGTCTGCCGCGCCAAGCAGCAGGTCGAGTGTAAGGCCCAAGGAATGGCATCTGAAGATTTCATAGATGCACCAGATGCGCCTCGGCTCGGCAGTGTCCGTGGCAAGGTCACCGTTAAGAGGCCGCCAGCAAACTAGTTCATCGAGGCTTCCTGTCCGCAGTGTCTAGAGGACACCACAGCATACTACCATATGTCATATGTGAGATCTTGTCTGCTGACTCGTCGTTGCCTGCCAAGCTGCGTGAGTGGGGCACACGCCTTGTCAAACCTGGGGCATGCGGCATGCTCGTGTGCAGCCCAACTTGCCAACCTCCACCTCGGAGCAGCCCTACCCTTGTTTTCGGCAAGTATTCATCTCAAGAGTACCTGTAGCCGTATGGATAGGACCACCTTGAACACAAGTATCACACGTGAGAAGATCAACGGCACTGCTAGAGCTGAGCCCGGGGTCGCACTGCCTGTAAGCGTGAAATTTACACGACGACAATAAGCAGGCCCCGGGCATCATCACAGCGCCGTACATCGACTCCTGCCGCGCGCGGTAGCCTGGGGTTTAGGCCTTCAGGTCTTAGAGGGTTTCAATGGGTTTCATATAGGTTGAGGGGTGGCGTCTGTTAGGGTATTTAGCGTGGCCTCGCCTATCGATGGAGCGAAGCAGCTTTGGTCTTCAGGGTTGCAAGGATGCCAAAGGTCTGAGGGTGGCACATTGCTTCATGCAACCCCCTTTCTATACAGACTTTTTCAAAACACTGAAAATGGGGAAACTCGCCTAAAGAATTCAAGCACTGCGGAAGGGACTTGGGGCATGTGCCCGACAAAAGGCGTCAAAACTAAATGGTGGTCCGTTCGGCCATTGCACTTGCACGTGTATGTTCAAAAATACCCTACACCTACAACAACCCGCACCAAATGCACCCCCGACATCGCACGACCCTCCAGCCCCTCCAAACAAGTTCCCCAAGCTCCCCCGTGTCCCCCCCTCCCCTTCAAGGCCCTGACCTCCCTAAGCTCCCCTAAACTTCCCTAGAGCTCCCCAAACTCCCCAACTCCCCTAAGCTCCCTCATTAAGCCATCTAACGTCCCTCGAAAGCCCCCTAAACTTCCTAACCCCCCCAGTCTGGCAGGCAGCAGGACGCAATGTACTCCAAGGCCATGTTAAACGGGGAGTGCGCAAGGTCGTCCCCTCCCAGGTCCTCTGGGCGCTCATGGGGCTTTGGGCCTGTTTTGGGGTTTTGAATGGGCTCAGGGAGGCCTAGGGATTTGATCGGGTGTCGGGTTTACGGGTAATATGATAACATGAGTTTGCGGTGTTTGTGGGTTGATACGGGCTGATAGGGCTTCAAGGTTTTACGGAGAGTGACAAAACTACCGACGGCAAACTTAGGGGCTCCCGCGCGGCATTCCCCAAAGGCCGTGGGCCCACAAGCCACGAATTGGAAGATGCACGAAACGCGAAAACCTGAGACAAGATGCACCCTGAACCCCCCTAAACCCTGGAGACCCTAAGCCCTCCACCCTGAACCCTATGCCCTTTTGGACCCCCAAGCCCCCTAAACGCTGCACGACACCCCAAGTACACCCTAAAACCCGAAACCCTGTGCTTTGCCATCTCAGGCCCCTAGATCGTTTCCCAAGGCGGAAGGACCCCCACTAGAAGATGCCAAACCCTAGAAATCCCTGCGCACCGGTTCACTGAGCGGGGCCCAGGCAACGCTGTGCTGGTTGTTTGAGAACCTCAGGAAGCAAAGCCCCGGTGGAAGCAAAGCCCCGGTCGGCAAGTTCAACTGGCGTCACAACCCCTAAGCCCCAAACTCCATTTCGCTCAAGGCATATGTTCCCTTGCGGAAAAGATGCCGGGAATTCTCCCACAGTAAGGATCTCTAGAACACTATGAAACCCTGATCTTTCAAAAACCTCAACCCTCAATCCTGAACCCTCAACCCTCAACCCTACTCCCAAAGTAAAGGATCCCCGTTACCCCCCCTCCCTCTGAAACCCACTAGGTCTCCCCTGGGGTGCCTTGGAGCTCGGAAGCCTAGAGGGTTCAGGTTTGGGAGCTTGGGATTTTGGGTTTCTAGAGTGAGAGGGTTTACAAAGTTTTGGGAGTAGTTAGGAGTGCTCGGTTCTGCGGCTTAGGGTTGGGGGGTTTTGGTGCTGTGACGTTCTGTGCACACCTTACCTCGAGCCGAGATAGGGTTTAGTGCCTGTATGGGACTCGGAGCCACAAGCGAACGTTGGTTTGTGGAGTCAAATATGAGGCTCCCTCCCGCTCGGGAACCCCAAACCTTCATCTGGGCCATGAATCTGCCTGCCCGCTGCCGAGTCACGTGCAGACATAGTAGCACATCTCGCCTGTCGAAAAAGGCTTAGAAAACATGAGACTGGGATGGTGTGCTTTCGAGCACTGACATTATCGACCCGAAAGAAGGAATTTGCCAATGGGTTCCTCCTCCCTATACCCACCCTCTTGCCCAAACTCGCCAAAAGTCCCTAGAGCTGGAGTTGTACCTGGGTAGAACAACTCATGAACCGCACAAGTAGCACCCCAACCCCCAAAGACCCTGAGACCCCGCAAGCAACTTGCAGGCCTGGGTCTTCTGGGTAGACCTTCTGGGCATGCCGCAGCAGGATTTCGGAGAACTCGATCGTCTCCTGGAAGGGCAAGTGAAAGATTTAAGGGCTGCAAGACAAGCGACTGCAGCAAAAATGCATATCCTGCAGCTGTAATCATGCTGCAGTCCGCAAGTCGAGGTGGTCCTGCCCCCAATAGTGCGACACGAACCCGGCGAGGGGCGCGAATTTTCCTTGTTCGGTGACGTCCACATAGGCGACCTGCAAGGGGGCGCTGCTTATATGGAGCTGAGCTGCAGCATCCGAGGGCGGCGCATGACTAACTACGGTGAATGGCTTACACACTGCATCGGGCTGCAGGGAAAAATTGCACAAAGTGCTCCACTACAAACGTTGGTACGACGATTGTGCATCTCAGCAGCAGCAGCAGAAAAAAGACAGAGAACCGAATTTGCATAGACGCTTTGAGACCCACCTACAGCCTAAGCCCCTTTAACCCTGCCGCCGCCAACGGTTATGCGCTCTTGGGAAATTCACCAGAGGCATCTTCCTCATAAATAACCGTGATTGAAAAAGAACCGTTGGCAGAGAGTTTGAACAGGAAGCACATCTCGTGAATGCATCCAAGCCACCCCAGTGCGGAGCACGACAACCGTTCCTGCGGCTCGCAGCCTGTCTTTGTGTCGCCGGGCGTTCACTTCGCCGAGATTAAAGCCACGAAGCTTCTCTGGGATGGCGTCCATACCCTGCCGACCCAGAACACGATGCCCGTAGAGTATTCATGTGGTAGTAGGAAGGAGTCGTATTCCAACTAGTAATGAAGACGGTACAGAGAAGCAGTCATCACGATGACAAGAACAATAGTGAGAAGTAGCACTCATGAGAATGGGCGCAGCAGGATAGTCATAGTCATACCACAAAGCTCCTGGAATGGGTACCCACCCCCCCCACCCCCCCACCCACCCAACCCCCCCCAACCCCCACCACCCCCATCTGTCTGTCTCTCCATTGGAGGTCTTTGTGCAATGTGTACACAGCGTCCTCAACCCTACCCCCTCACAACGACCGTCCCCTCGAATGGCCTCCACCTCCTTATTTCGCCCGAAGCTGGCAAAAGAAGCTAAGAAGCACCTCTGCGCGGCCCCGGCCGAGGCGTGTCGCGTATTAACATGAGTAGTTTTTAGCTGAGTTGGCAGGAAACAATGCGCAGTCCGAATGGTGAAACTTCAATCGCTTGCCGTTAAGACTTAGCAGTCCGGCGACAGCAGCGAGAATCAAGGTTCGTTATGACCAAGAAGTGACAAAACGAAAGGGTCCTAGCTAGCAGTTTATAGCAGATGCGCAGACTGCAACGAGCACTTAAAAGACAATAGCTTGCAAATACTAAGAAACCAAAACAGAAGCCAGTTACCTACTGGTACTAGTAGTAGGAATTAAAGATCGTGGCAGAGTAGCCGTAGTGAAAATGTCGGGGGCGCCATCCTGCACCCGCCCATGCTTCTCCGCGGTCATCCACATGTCATGGCGCTCCTGGGCTTTGCACGTGCTGGCGCATCTTACGGATATTGATGTTCGGGAGTTTCGGAGTCACAGCCTGGACCTTCGGGTCGAAGAGCAGCAAAAAATCTCAAAGCCCCACTGCAGCAGAACCTCTTGTCGGAAGTATTGCCGGCTTGTACCCATTACCATTGCCCGGAAAAATTACCCTGCCACAAAAAGCCCTGTGGCCACGGGGCCACCCCCTCAGAATCCTATTTCGGGCCGGCTGCGTCGCCGCTCTTCCAGTACTTCACGCGCAGGTCTCCCCCTTCACCTCGAGCCACGGCGGAGCTCAGGAAGCAGCTCGTGCTTTAAGGCGGGCCCGATGACCCAGAGCTGCGCAGGCGAATTCTGTAAGGTTGTTTAATGCTTGGGCTGTGCCTACCAGTCTCCAGAAAACATGTAGCAAGGAAAAGCTCTCTCCACCGCTAGGCACCCGACAGAGGATCCCTTGAATCGTCATGTGCTCCTTGGTGCTGGCGCAATTCGAGAAAAAACAACACGACAGCAGGAACAAGATGTGGGCTCAAGCCAGAACTCTGAAACCTCTGAAAGACGTCCGAGCTTCTACGGGGACTCCTCCAAGGTGGACGCCCTCCCGGCACTGAAGCGTGCCTCCTTCGAAGATCGACTCGGTTGCATCCTTTCGGAGGGACCGCGTGATCTGCTCGACGTCCTCTTCCGAGAGCTCGACGACACGCTCGCTGCCTTAGGACAGCTTTCCGCTGCCTGCCGCCTTTTCTTCTGTTATGGTGTACGACAGCACAGAGTTGCGAAACTGATCTCAACAACACCTTGGCAATACAGACTCCATATGCTGCTGTGCCGACTAAACAAACCAGGGACTCTTACAAACAATCGAAGGCCAGGCAGCTCGTGCATTTCACCTTGGCTCCAGCATAGGCCCTTTGGGACCGTGAGTTTCTTGGTTTAGGGTCTATACAGTAGAGGGCTTACAGGGTTTAGAGTCCCGATGTTTTCACGGTGCCGGTCTTGTGCTTGCACGAGGTATTCTAGGATGCTTCAGCTGGGCCCCCCTGCGATGATGAGGTTCCCGCACACGTCGTACATGTTCTTCCGGCCGGTCAGGCCCTTCCGCTCGGTGGGCTCCTCCATCCAGGCCCGGTTCTCCTGCGCAAGCAACGTCAACAAACCACACACCTCTCGAAACACCCTAAAAGAACACCTTAAAAACCCCTTCACATTCATGTAGAATCTACACGTGATCTTGATGCTCGCCACCATATCCCGCACTTTGCTCTGACAAAATGGGAGTGGGTGCTATTTTGACATGTGTCTTTCGGGTGAAGTCCCAAAAACCTTGCCCACAACCAGCTTGTCCTCCACAAGGGCGCACACATCCTTCACGCGGATGCCTTTCGGGACCTGCACAGGGAAATCCATACTACGCTCTCCTTTTCTCGGTCCTTAAGCGCCAACAATGATCTGAGAAACAGCAGCTGGGAGCGCATGCTAAAAGTATCTAAAAGTCCTTCAAGAGGGGTATATTTTCCTCCATTCCACCACTCTCCTGGAAGTGTTGAGCATTTTGCGGCAGTGAAATGGGAAGCTCCACTGAGCATGGTGAAAGGCGCCACCGAGTTCGAGCTCAAGGCTCGAACCAAGAATCCAGCCGGTACCACGTAGAGCTACCCCTAAGCACTTTGGGGAAGCTCCAACCCGGTCCATCACCCCCAAGCAGCCGGTCCCAAGCAAAGCCTCGCCATGTGGCCCTGTGCCCCAGTCGAAGCAAACCAAACCTGCAAACCTTCCAAAAGCTGCGGCGGCCTGCCATGCCGGTGGCCCCTGGAAGAGCAGCGCACTTGATTTGCAGAGTATCAGGGGGGTATAATGTGGGAGGGGAGGGAAGGTTGGGGGATAATTCAGGAGTCGTTCGTTTGGCGCGCGCAGGACGGGGCAGAGGCGTCTTTGCTGATGGGTGCGTGGGGGGAATGCATCCTCGAAGAGAGAGAGTCAGCCCCTGCACAAGCCCCTGGAAGTCCTGCACGCTCTCCTGCGCAGCCTCTGCTTCCGGCTGCATTTCCTGGATGCCGAGTTTTACTGTTTTCAATATCTGTCGCTGTTCGGCGTAAGTAAGGCTGCCCCGGCAAAAGTTCGCGGGCTTCTGGAAGCGCATAGGATGCAACTTGAGGCAACCTTACAAGCTGCAAGCGTAGGCTTCTTGAAAAAAACACATTTCTCCCGGCTCCTCCGCCGCTGGATCCGCAGAAGGACCAGTCGCTGGCTGCGCATGCAGTGAATCCAGGGGCCCTGCAAAGCATCTAGCACAGACAAAATGTGCGGCTCTACCACTGCCACTGCTTCAGGACTGTGCGAAGAGCCTCTCCGACACCCTGACTTGCATGGCTGTCATTCGTGGTTGACACTGTGTCGGACCCTAAACTTACCCTAAACCCGGAACCTGCCACCGGTTCTGGCTGTGCACATGACACAGGCTCAGATGAAGCTGCCAAGCACGAAAGAACCTCTCAGCAACATGCGCCTTCAAGGCGTGGGCCTTCTTGGCCTGAACTGGGAGCCTCCAGCGCGGTTCGAGGCTTTCTGCAGAAGCTTCGGGGGCTCCAAGGCTGAGGGTTTCAGGCTTCGATCAGGCTTGGGGAGCCAGCCCCGAAATCGGATCTGGAATGCCAAGCATTCAGGTGCACCAACATCGTAACGGCCCTTCTTCTTCTAGGTGAGGCAGAAAACAGCCCTGAACCCCTCTTGAGCCCGCAGCCCGGAGCCTCCAGCGCACCCCCACTCGCCTCGTCGAACACCGCAGGCATGGAGGATGGGTCTTCTGACCTGCGGCTCGGTGCAAATGCACAGAGAACCTCCAATCTGGAAAGTCCCGTTACGCATAGTTCCCGGCCCCCACAGTATCGTTGCCCTGTCTGCTTTGGAGAGTGGAGCCCACGCCTGCTCTGTTTGGGCTGCTGTCTCTTGTGTCACTCTGCAACTACACCCAAAGGGCCTCCGCGCCGCTTCCATTGCTTCGAGGAATGGATTCGATGCCTTCCGCGCGAGGCTCAGGAGGGAGCAACGCTCAGGCGGGTCGAGAGAGGAGCGGTTGAGGGTTTGGGGCTGCGAGTTGAGGGTGCGGGCTTTCAAAGCAGGTATGGTAGAGGTTTGTAGGGCCTAGGACAACAAGAAAATCGTCGTAGGGAGCCTCGAGAGTGCCTACAGAGAGCCTGTACGGCCTAGGCTCTACTTCACTCTTACTCAACTGTATGCTACACTGCACAATAGAATACACTTTGCCACACCGACTATTGCAGCCTCCCGCTACGAACTTTGACTTCTACAGTCTAACACATAGTGAACACTATGTGAACTGTACATTATGTGCTGACGTTCTAATTACAAGTGAAGTTCAAGATGTAGGAGGCAGTTTGCCTGACACGCGGTGAACGATTCTCGAAAGGTCTGCACCTCGCCGCACACGAATTGTACAACTAGATAACCGCCGCCGCAGTCTCCCGTACAGACTTCTCTGGCCATCCAGCCTCACGAAGCGATTGGATGTGGCGCATGTGGTCTGCACCGTCTGCCTCCAGCGCTTCGCGCAGAGACACATGCCCAATCCCGGCCCAACCCAGGCCTTACCAAGACAAGATGGGCCTCTACCATGCTTTCTGCTCTACCCCACTTGAATAGGAACGAGCTGGAACACAGCGCAATCTGTATCGGCAGCCCAAGAAATACGGTCCTCCAGGCAGGGCCTAGCTTGCGCCGGAATATACTTTTTGATTGGGGTTTAGGGCTTGATAGTTTTGGGTTATGGGTTATGTTATGTCTGCCTGTGTCCTACGTACACGAATACACTGAACTCTACTTTGCCGCGCTCTGCCTCAAGCTTCGTGAGCTTCTGGAGCTGTTGGGAGCAGGCGGGGGCAAGCTCCTCCGCCGCATCCTGCACCGCAGGCGCGCAACAATTATCACGAAGGCCACGCCACAGGGATGAGAGCTTGTGTCACAAGTGTGGAAGAACAGGGCGTCAAAAGTGGAGACTCACGGGTAGTAAGTAGTCGCCGCCTTTTACGAGCATGGCAAACTGAACTTTGCAATCTTCCACGTCCGTCACTTGCAGACTGGCCAGGAAAAGTGACAGGAACCGCCTGCACCAGCGTCCCGAGATGCTGAACCTGCAAGGCATTTCTGCTGAAATCCGCTGCTCAGAACAGAACACCAAACCCAGCCCTAATCCTTTTGGTGATGGGCATCGGCCCTGCCACTGTCTTTTTACCACTGCAAGCAAACCCATCCCCACAGAATCGTGGCAAAAAACAACACGGAACTCGCCTGGGTGCGGAGGTGGAACATGTCCCGCATCATGCCTGCCACTTGCCCTGAGAGGCTTCGCAGGATCCGTTTAAAGCCGTCGGGATTCGGCGTTTCGCCCACGAGGGGTTTAGGGTTTTAGGCCTACGGTGTGTAGGCTACACATATATATATATATATATACTGTATACTATATTCAGTCAACAGGCCTCAACAGGCATTCAAAAACACTGAGGGTCCACGAATCGCTGCAGGGGCGCTGCGGAGACTCTGCCGGCGGCTGCCCGTCCTCTCTCGGTGAAGCCCCTCATCCGTGGACCTCTGCTGCATGCAAGGATGCAAGGTTGTCAAAAAAAAACCTATCAACCCTTTAAAGCCTCAAGCCCAAAGCCCCCGACCCTCGCACGTCGCCAGCCATCTTGGCTGGGATGCTGTTCGGGAAGTTCATTTATGTAAGCGTTACCAGGAGAAGAGAACCATGTATCCACAAGATCGTCACCTAAAAGAGCTTTTGGACCCAGAAACTCTAAACACCCCCACCGCCATGGCCAGTATGGAGTCAACTCGGTTCCTCAAGCAGCAGCCCAAAGCTGAGGTCCCAACGCGGAGTTGCGCAATCCAGCTTCGGGATGGCGCGGCACCTGCGGTCCCGCCTGCGCGGCGAGCCCTTCTTTAAGGAAAAGGCGGTGTGCGACGGAGGTGCAAAACTTGGGGGCTTTAGGTGGAACTTTTGAAGCTTTTGCGGCTAATTTTGTTCCAATTGTTCTTCAGGGCCTTTAACTTGGTTGGGGGGGGGGGGCTTTTGGGGGCCGGTGCCTCCACCGGTTCTGTCCCATTCGGCACGCCAGGGAGGCTGACCTGGCCAGGGTCTTCTTGAGCCAGCGAGTCCCTTCGGGCCCCTTGGCCTTCTAAAAAAAAAGGAAAACAAAACCCGTGGCAGCAGCGCATGGGAAGAAGAAGGCTCCATCTTCAGCGCCGGCAGGCGGGCCTCCAGTCCAACAGTTATCGCGTCGGTCAGGTTGCATGCCAGTCTGAGAAGCCTGCTCTCAGGAGCATGACGTTCACATTTTCAAATGGCTGTGCGGGACACGATGCTTGACAAGGTAATCAACAGCACCCAGCGGCAGATAGTCTTTTCATGTCTTTCCCCTTGCACCCAGTGTACACGAGCCGAAACAGGCAAGAGCCCCAAGAAAGGCCCCTCAGACACCAGGGGAGCCAAATCTTGAATCATACCGCATGATGCCACCACATCTGCACATCTGATACTACTACACTTATACAATCTACTATACCCCTGCCCATACTCTGCTCTCCTCGACTCTACTCTACTCTAAACCTCTATTTTTTGCACTACTGAAGTGTGAAGGGCTCGGGCCCTGGCCAAGTCCAGGCTTCGGGACTGCTGCGGGGCAAACAAGGAAAGCCCAAACGGCTGCAAGCGGAGACCATGGGTGTTCGGGATTTCGGGTATTAAGGTTTCAGGGCTATAGGGTTTACCATCTTCAACATCGAGCTTTCCGAACGTAGTCGAGGAGGGTATAAGAGCTTGGAAGGTGTGGGGGCGGCCTTCAGACGGCTTGCTCAAGCCTTCAACCCTACTTCGACTTTACACGGAGGGCGGCGCCGAAGTGCAGCGGCAACATGCTAAACTGCGTCCGACACCCGTTGATGCTGCGTCCACCCCGACAACACGGCAGAGGGCATGGTCGGCCGTAGGGCCGTAGGGCGAGGCCCCCGACACCTGCGTGAGTCTCCGGCGTCCCGCGAGAACTCAAGCACCACGCATGCCGAAGGGTATAAGAGTTGAATAGGTAAGGGTGTCTTATATTTGTGCGTGGATGCCGTTTCTCCTTGGCGGGCTCTCCTTGGCGGGCTATCTTGGGGACAGTACTCCACTCAAAGCGCCGTCGTTTGGCCCCAAACTATCGACTAAAGGATGTGTTCTCACGAGCTTCATGGGCTGCATGAAGCTCAACGGCCACAATTGCACAAAGGTCAGCTAGGGGGAGAGAACAGAGAGGAAACGACGAAGTTACCGCACGATGTCATGCCAGAAACAGAAGTTCAGGAGACACAGGCTCAAGACCATGCCATCAAGAACGGCTGGCCACGGAGCAAAAACACGGTTTTTCGCGATGGCTCCTTGTCAAGGTCCGCACCGGCGCTGAGTCTCCCAAGCGTTGCCGAAATAGGTTGTGCATTCTCGTGCGAAAGCATCGTCAAAAGCTGTTTCGTAAACGAACAGTTTCGCTGCGAAAGCTGAAAGAGCCCGGATCTGATTTTGTAAAAGAGGGAAGCCTGAGGCAGAAAGCACTTATTTTGCCTTCGCCCACCTTCGCGAGGCAACGCCGTAAAGGCGATTGCGACTCACTGGGTTGCAAGCGGGACGAGGGTACTCAAGCGGCCTTGCGATGGCCCAACCCGTTCATGTGTCCAGGCATAACTTACAGGGTTTAGGGTTTTCAGCGTTCTCCTCCACAAGCTGCACTTACATCTGCCTGCTGACGCAGGACGGGCTGAGGAACCAGGACAGCGAGGTAGCAAACCTTCCGCGATTTTGGGGTGCACGTCGGATGTTCCGGCGGCGCACAACAAAATGCCTGTGCGCTTCTCTATGGTCGCCAATCCCCGTGGACTGCATGGGCCGAAGGAGCACTCTTAGAGTCGATGTACATGGCAGCGGTTGCAGGGGCCAGGCGCCCGCGCAGGCCTGCCGGCATCCGATGTTAGGTCGGCCCGGGCCTCGTCTCGGATCACCTTCGCCGAGAGTACTTGGAGGTTCATGGGTACTTCTAAGCCCAATCATAAACTGTACTTATAACTTGTAACCTACTTAGAGGACATGTACCCTGAACATCCAAGCAGAGGAAAGCGAAACTTCTGAAGGAAACCCCTGAAGGAAACCGGGGCAGGCCAGCAGGAACCTCAAGCCTTTCGTTGAAAGAAGCTGACGGAAAGCAGTGGGGCTTTAGGATAATGAGGGGCCCCTCATGCCAGAAATAAGAGGATCCCCGTATCATCACCAGCTGCCGCCATCATGGCCCAGGTGCGCCCTTAGGAGCCGTCAGCTGTCCTAGCAAGACCCAAGCGCACCCCCAGCGAAAGTAGGGTAAGGGAAGGCCACGCCAGGGCCAAGCCACGCCAGGGCCGAGATGCCGAGATGTAGATGTTATCCAACGTGCTCATTTTGTAGTGTTTGGGGAGGGCCACCAGCTGCCACCATCGTGGCCCAAGTGCGCCCTTAGGAGCCGCCATCTGTCCTAACAAGACTCAATCAAGCGCACCAAGCGCCCCAGCGAAAGGTAGGGTAAGGGAAGGCCACGCCAGGGCGAGGCCACTCCAAGGCCGAGATGCCGAGATGTAGATGTTGTCCAACGTGCTCATCTTTGTAGGTGCGCCCTCAGCACTGAAGCCTTGCACCACGTGAAACCGGCAAAGAGATGGTGTGTCGAGTGTGCCCAGAGAAAGAGGGGGGACGTTGGGGGGGGGGGGGGGGGGGGGGAAGGCACTGTCGCTCTAGCGCAGCTAGGTCAGAACAAGGGGGTGCTCTTCGAGCCTGAACCACACGGCTCTTAGCGCCGCCCCGGAGGTCCCCCTTCAACCGGCACCAGCCCCGAAGCAGAAGGAAGCGCTAGACTCCGGGTAAAAGCCCCATTATGACATTAAGTCTTTTAGAGGGGCTTTTAACACAGCATGAAAGGGCCCTT